AATTAATTCAGGTTGGGTTTGCCCCGTCACCAAACCCCCTTCACCTGCAACCAGGTCATAGTGACAGGATGTTTCAGAAACTTATCTTAGTTTCCCCATCTGTAAGCTAAAAAAATTGACCTATTTCATAAAGATCTCTGAGATGCACCAGTGAAAAGTGTTATACAAGAGTAGATACTTTAGTTATAGTTGCAATGCTATCTGAATGCTTTTACTGTGTGTGCTTGTAGATTTATAATATTTATTTTTCTCAGAAGAGCTAAAGTTGTAAACTAATACCACTAGTTCTAGTCCTCACCAAGAGATGACTAAAACACATGCATCAAAACAAGTATATGCGTGTTCTCACTTATCATCCATAGGATTATTTAGTTGGCACAATGAGGGACCTGGGGCTTTCCTTTAGCTCTTCCAAGTCCAAAATTGTTTTGCCTTCAGGTTTATTTTTATTTATTAAGAGTTTTGGCACATACTTTTGTGTGCATGTGTGTTCTGTAATATAACACATAGCCTTTAATTCCCCAAAGACAGCCTCAAACTGCAAAGCTCCAATGACATAATGTTTCTTTCAGAACGAACTGTGGCGTATGTGGTGTGTGTATCATGCAATGTGAGTTTATTATGGCAAACTTGAGTATTTATGGGGTGCAGGAGCATTAAGTGATATACATATATATATAAATAATAAAAAATCAGACATAAACCATTCCAGAGCTCAGTAAAGAATTGTTAAATTAGAAGTCACACCTCAACTTTTTCTTATTTTACTTTTTTGTTTCAACTACCTCTTATTACAGTCAGCCTTTCAATTGCTTTAGTTGAAAGAAATTATGGAAAGTCCACTCTCTGGGTTTGTTTTGTTTTGTTTTGTTTTGTTTTGTTTTGTTTTCTTGCATGTAATTTCTTTGTTTGACAGCATATTTCTCCTTGCTGGTTTTACCTTTCCCCAGTGATAATCATTTTATCTCTTATTTGCATGAGGTCTCCATGCAGCAAGAGGAGAAATGGGTTTTGATTCTGTGGTTTGTTTTTTTTTTAATGGGGAAATAGCTTATAAATTCTGTCACTTTTTCAAGCTCTAAATATTGGCTATGTAATCTGAGGCAGCAAAACCATCTGATTCTACTTAGAATGTGATTGTCTAAGGCTGCAAAGTAGAAAAGTATGTATAAAAAATAATTAAAGCATGGTAACATACTCAGATTTTTTTGAAAGGATGGATCAATATGGCCTTTTAGTCTGCTCTTTCCTAGAATGAAGGCTGTATTTCTTGCATTTACACCTGCTTTTCTGCGTATAAAACTCACAACTTATGTTACCAATACTATGAATATCAAAGCTAGCATTTTGTTTTGTTCAAGATAGATACTACAGTGTGGCACTATTGTATTTTATCTACTAAATAAAGGGTTGCCATTTTAAAGGATAACCACCTACAATTTTTAATGGAAACTGTTTATTTTTTAGAAACCTGTTTGCACTTGTTCATTAAGTATTACAGTGTAATTGCTCTTACTGAACACTTCATAAACAATAGCCTGATCTATATTCTCCATGTTTATTGGATATCTTTTTCAGGTTTTGGTTTTGTTCATTAGTTTTGTTGGGTTTTGTTTGTTAGGGGTTTTTTTTTCCAATCACAGAGACCTCCAATTTTGTTAACTGTTCATTTCATTTTACAACCAGATGGTTTTTCTGTGAGGATGATCATCAGGGACATGTTCATGTGGTTGAAGACGGCTAGATGTAGCATTTGGAAGCTAAAATGGTTAGTCTTCAGTTCACCAGATGTGGCTAGTGGAATATTTTTCCTTCTTAGGACCCTTCACATATTTCAAAGTCTAGAAGCTGGGTCAGTGAAGTCTGTGAGAATCTTTTCAATGTGGGCTTTGACCTTAGGGGTCTGATCGGTGACCATGAGCAAAATACAAACTACAAGCAACTTTGAAACAGCTGGCAGTAGAGCACTGACTAGGCTTGAATAGCCTGTGGGTATCTGAATGGTTGTTAATACCTGGAGGAGTTGGTTTTCTATTCTGAATGGCTTTTACCCTGTGTCCACATGGAGCTGAGATCTCAGCTCTTCTTCTGTACTGAGCCCAGCTCAACAGCACAGAGATGCTGTTGCTTTCTAGGTCAGCCTTTATGGGAGTTTTATATGAATTATGGAATAGTTTTGTGGGGCCACAACTGTGATTACAGGTTTAATGATGCTTTAAACAAACAAAACTGTAATGACTTTCATCAGTGTAAAAACAGGAGCTTCCTGCAGGGAAACACCAATAAATGTGACTTCGCGGCAGGGGCACAGACCTGGCTGGCAGCCAGCAGTAATCGGCACACCACGTAGACCTTGTGTGTTAACTTAATTATAGCAATAGTGCAAGCAGCAGCTAGATAGTTTGCTGTGAGGAATCACTGCCAGCGTGGCACCGAGTCCATGCATTTAAAAGTTACCCATCTGATCCATGGCTTTAGGTAGTGAATGGCTGGGACTTTCACAGCCAGTTTAGCTTTGTGCTGTGACTCAAAGCAATCTCACCTTTGTCAGTGAAGTTTAGATGGGCATGAGGGCCTTGGAATGGCACTCTAACCTCTCCCATGTAATAAAAATAAATGTAGCTATCCTTGTGTTTGCATAGAAAAGTCTGAGTTAAAAGAGTGGGGTTTGGTTACTTGGGTTTTAGTTACAAATCAGGGAATTGGTTACTTACACCATGGGACTTGCCTTGGGAGGCCAGGTCTACTGGAAGTTGGTGGAGCCAGTCTCACAAGGGCAAGAACTGCTATGGTAGGGGACTTGCCAGGCTGGTCAAGGCAGCTTTAAACTAGATTTGTTGGGGAAGAGGGGCACTGATCCATCCCAAAACTACCAGTCAGATGTCAGCACCTGTAATGAATGCTTGGAGCGATGCAGAGCTGCTCCAGTCAGTGAGATTTATTCAGAGCTCAGCTCAGATGCCTGTATACAAACACTCATAGTATGGGGAATAAACAAGAGCAATTGAAGATGTGTACACGTCTGTAGAGATATCATTGGCATCATGGAAACACGGAAAAGAGAAGGTTGTGTGGAGACCTCATAGCAGCCTTCTAATATCTGAAGGAGGTCTACAAGGATAACAGGGATTCTTCATCAGGGGCTATAGTGATAGGACGAAGGGTAATGGGTTTCAATTTAAACAGGGAAAGTTCAGGTTAGATACAAGGAAGAAGTTCTTTACTGTGAGGGTGGTGAGGCACTGGAACAGGTTGCCCAAAGAAGTGGTAAATGCTCCATCCCTGGCAGTGTTCAAGGCCAGGCTGGACTGAGTCTTGGGAACATGGTCTAGTGTGTGTCCCTGTCCATGGCAAGGGGATTAGAACTAGATGATCTTAAGGTCCTTTCTAACCCTAACCATTCTATGATTGTAGAAAGTCCCATGAGTGTTACACAGCCTGTCAAAACAGAGTCCTGTGCTGGTTCTTCAATTACCCTCATGCAATAAGATAAAATAAGCCAGTAGCTTACTCTGCAGTTGTTCAATGCTTCAGGTATATACACAGCCTTTCCATATGCTTTGTTTCTCCGATCAGGCAAAATAAATGTCATGAGAACACTTTACTAAGTCTCTTTGGTACCCAGAATTTCATAAATGGCTAGGAGAAAGTGGGGAACAAGCCTCACATTTTCAAAGCTGGAAGCTTGTCTTTGATTAAAGATTAAATTTGATTAATTAGTATGATAATGAATATCCTAGGTTGTATTTTGTAGTTATTTGCATGATGATTTGGCACCTGAGATATTCCATTGAGTTTAATGACGTTTCTGCTGATCTTTTCAAAAGGGAGGCTCAGATAGGAAGTGCTGTTTGAAATTCTCTGGTTTGTGTTCTGTGTAGATCTTGGCTATGTGAACTTTGTGACCCCAAAACCTTGGGTTTTGGTGGAGAAGTTAAGAGAATAAAGCCCATTTCGTTTCTCTACTCTCTAAGTTTAAGGATCCTACACAGTAGACCATTGTTCATTATTTTAGCATGTGTTCCTCTGAGGTTAGTATTATAGTCTCTGGCTTGTGGTTGGAGGGGTAGTGGTTTAGGGCAATAGCATGTCTTGCTGAAGATCACATAACAATTTGTTTGCAGAGTGAGGACTGCAACTTGTAATCTCATGACAGCAGTTCATCAGTCTTGTACTTGCACAGAGACCTTTAGCTTGAGAAGTTAGTTCCAATAAAACAGTATGATTCCAATAAAATGTATGATTGTTAATGCGAGATCACTGTTTTGTGAGTCTGGTGCATTCTGGAAGGAAAGGAAAGATGGCCAGGAAGTTCTGTCAAACTGCTTTGGAAAACGTGTATTACCAGAAACACCTGAATAGCACTGGGGTTTAGGGCATGTCTTTGCTCTGTAGTGGAGCAGAGGAGTTACTATGGGTGTCAGCTCTACGAATTTCCAGTTCTAGCGCTAGCTTAAGCATCTCTACACCACAATTCCATTAACTGGTGTATTTGTACTCCAAGTCACTCATTGCCACAAGACTTAGGCTCCTAAATCTCAAAAATGTTTCTGGAAACAGTTGGTTTCCTGTCTGCAAAAAGGACACATGGACTGTTCCTTTGCAGTTTATGTTTATGCAACAAGGAGCAGGCCTATTGTTATGCATCCTTACATCAATTGGGGTCTCTACAAAGAGATTAATTGTCTTTTATGCTACTTGCAGTTCTAATTCAGCTCCAAAAAGAGGAGCCTTAAATTTTATTTGCTGTTATCTTTCTGCTTTTGAGTAGTTCCATTAATGACTCTTGTTAAGATCTTGTTTATCTTCATGGTGAAAGTGTGCAACTTGCTCTCAGATGTTGGCCTTATCACTATATTGTCTGAAGAGCTGTCAAACTTGCAGTCACAGGCCATATTCTCTAATTTTTCCTGTAAAAGATCAGCTAATGCCATCCTCTGCCCTTCACAGAGTTTACATCTGCAGCACCTTGGTGTAATGCGTTATAATGTTTCTTCCAGGGATTTGTATCATGTATGGAGCAATACCGAAGAACTGGGCAGGAGCTATATGCCTCTTTGCACAAGAACCACATGCAGGTAAAGAACCGGAATGTTGTGCAACAGCTTTCTATTGCTGAAAAGATGATCTTGCACTACCCTGAGAAACTGGGCATGTCAGAAGTGAGATGAGTAGTATGCCCAAAGGAATGCTGAGAGTGAATACTCCATTCCTGACATCACCACTGAGGTGTGATACAGCATCACTCACCAGTCAGATTTCTCACTTTATCTTCAGGAGCCTTTTCTCTTTGGTTTAAATAAATTATTCCACTCTCACAATGGCAGAAATGAAAGAGAGGACTTTGACCTTTTTTTCTTAGTAGCCTGTAAAACTTTCCAGGAGGCCTCAAGCTCATAGCCAGTAAAATCTCACTGTTTCTGTTTCAAGGTTGGCCATCAGAGATCAATGAGCTTTTAGTTCTTTGAAATTCTCACCTCTTCTCTCCTTTAAATTTATATCTTAGTGCCCCCCTCAGCTCCCTGCATGTACTTCCTAAGTAGAAAAATAGATGCCATGCTTGGAGGGAGCACAGTACACTTCTGAATCAGACTTTCAGACTGTGCTTTCAGTGAACAATGGTTGTTGTCATTTGACACAAACATTCACCAGAAAAAAATGGAGTGAATAAAACCTCTGTGATGCTGTTCTCATGGCTCACTGCTTTTGGGTTGGAAATCTAATGAAAGCAGCCATTTTCAAGGAGGTTGATGTTTACAACATGATTGTATTTGTCACTGTATCTTAGTTTAAGTTGTAGCATCTCACACTGCATGCTTTCAGTGGTCAGTTGGACCTGTGTTTTCTTGGTCTGCAGCCCTCCCTCTGTAGTGATCCTATCCAGTAGGTTGGGTAGAATCACTGGGGTGGTGCCACTGCTGGATGGGAGGCGGGAAGCCTGCTAAAGGTGACACAAGGCGGTTCTGTTCCACAGATACTGCAGTGTGGTTACAGCAAAGCAGCAAAGGACTGGATGATACTTGAGGAGCAACTTTTCTATGGAAGGGGCCCATGGAGAGATGCATCACGATCATTAGAGCCACGATGGATTCTTGATTGTTACGAAGGGCCTTCACGAATGAGGAGAAGGATTCAACTTGTAAACACCCGAGCAACAAGGATGCGAATGAAGAGCGAGGTAGAAAGCTTTCACAAGAGGCACACAATTTCTGCAGCAGTTGCTGGTGACTTGATATTCACCTCTTTCCTCTGGTTCTCACCACCTGACTCATCAATATGCTGTGACATGCATAGACAACCAGAACAGGTCTGGTTTTGAGAGAGTAAGAGGGGCTGCAATGTGTTTAGCAGCCACAGAATTACTTTTCCTCCTTTCTGTTGTAAGATCTCCCCAGACAGATGAGAGTATAACCCAAGCATACATTCTGGTTTGTAATCTCATGGGCATAGCGCTTCCCAATGCAACAGAGTCCAGTCAGAAGGCTGCACTGTCTTGTTAGTCTTATGTTTCTTAGGGATGATCAAAAGGGGAATTAGAGTGGTTTGAACTAAGCGTTGAAATGTATATGTGGGGTATTTACTACTGTCTGTCTCTTAAGCATTTTAGTATATCAGGAGCTTCCCATCTCTAGGATATTTCCAGCTTTCATGTGAAGCTTGGATTCTGGCAGTTTTTTGTAGACCTGTTGGTATGTTTTTTATCCTATAACCAGCCTCATGCAAGGTCTTCTTTGAAAAGACAGTATTTTCCTTTTGACTAGTTGTTGACATTTGTTCCTACGTTTAATTGTTCCTTTGAGTCCTTTTAAATAAGTTTATTTGAATTTCCAAGGCATATATTTGCAACGTAGTTCCAAATCTGTGTTTTTGTCTGTAGCAAGGTTCTGAATTATGCTCACCTCTCTGCATACTCCACTCTAGTCATACCTAGTCTCTTTTCAGGTTCTCCTGGAAAGCAGAAATGAAACAACCTCTCCTGCTATAATGTTTTAGGGCTAAAATCACACCATCAAGAGGGTAGACACAAACAGCCAAAGAGAATTAGAGTTGGTGTATGGAGTTCTAGGTCAGAATTTCATCTAAGTTAAAAAACCTTATTGTCAGTCCTCTGGACTAAAAAGTCACTGTAACATCTGGGGGAAAAACAAGTTAATTGTTATAGGTGGTGTATAAACTGTCTTCAGAATTTATTACTCTCTTGTTGCCACCAGAAAGATCTCAGAGCAAAAAAGTTATCTTGAAATGAAAGCGTTGAGCATTCTTAGCCGCCTGGAAAGCTTCCAACTGCTTAAACTCAGAAGGAAAAGTGTGGACTCTGAAACAGCATTTAAAACCAGGTGATAGATGGCTCAGAGAAGTGGTACTAGGAAATGTAACTTTCCAAGAACGTGGGAAAAAAAGTGGAGAGTGAAAGGAAATCATCAAGAATATCAATATGTCAAATTCTTACTTAGCATTCAAAGTAGAAGCAGATTTTTCAAAATATGATCATTATGTCAACATTTTTCTTTTTCCAAGGCCAGGTTTTCTGTTACATGAGACATTAAAAGAGGGTATCGGGGAGCGAAATGTGGTACAGAAGTCAATAGTTAATGGGGAGGGGGAGAGGACCCCAACATTGGGAAAGAACTGTAGTTTGGAAGTGCTAGCCAAGTCTAAGGTTGTGGATTTCAGCCACCTTTATGGCTGCTCCACATCAAGCTTCTAGTGTATGTAGTGAACACTGTTGGGAATAGGCAGTATTGTTATATGCTTTTTAGTGTGATAGGGCCTAGCAAATAAGTGAGACTAGAGCTCATTGTACAATAAGGCTGAAGTACTATATAGTTTCTGCTTGAAAGTGGTTACACTCTACCTCAGTAGGAAGGCTGATCGTGCCTGTGTGCACTGCATAAAGTTGCAAAACCTGGGACACAGTTTGGGCAAGATATGAGTGTCTCTCCTTGCTCCTGCTCAGTGCATGCCCCAAAAGACTACCATTTTCAGTTTCTCTTTATTTTCTAATTATCAGTGATTACAGGAATTTAGTTTGAATTATGACTAAGTGCAAGTACGTGGTTTTAGTTCCCTGAACTAAGCATCCTTCCTTAGCAGTCACAGATTCTACATTTTTCTTGCCTGTTTTTTCCAGAAAAATAATGCGATTTCCCAAGGTAGAACAGATTGAGTTAAAGTCTAAATGGCAAATGCTTTTGGTGTCATCCTGCTCACTCTAAAACTGCAATCTCTTTTATACTGATACAGGAGAGCTGACATTAAATGGAGCAGAAAGGGATATGGATAAGAAGGGATTGGATTGTAACCAGCTAACGTTCTTCCCTGCTCTACATGAAAGTTTCCATTCAGAAGACTTCTTGGAACTGTGTGTGGAGAGACAAATTATATTGCAGGAGTTTGCAGAGAGTGAAAAGGTAGGAAATATGAACTAGAGAATTTTCTTTGGAGAGATAGCAATTTAGAGGCTGAATTGGATGTGGAGGCCTATCTGTTCCTTTCAGTTTGGGGTTCAAGTTTATTTAGGCTACGATGAACATCATCACTGTTTACTAAGAGCAATTACAATTTGCCAGCCTCTGTATGAACTCCTATATAGACTTACTGTTGGAAAGTATTTAACATTAACTCTTTGAAGTAACAGAAAAAAATCTAGGCATGTAACCAAAGTATTCTCATACCTGTGAGATAGTATAGTCTGAATTTGCCTAAGACATGTCAAATTATAAGACTGAGAATTCATGTTCTGCTTCCCCACCTTTACTCATGCTCAGAGCAGTGCCTGGATCAAATTTATTTACTACTTCTGGAAAAGTATGCCAATTTGTATAGGTTGCTAGTTCAGTGATGTTTAAATCTCCTCCTGCTG